GAACAGGTTTACATGTAATAATTGGTCTGATCTCATTCAGACACACTGTCATCTACTTTGGCCTTTGTTTTAATAGATGCATGCTTCTTTATGCCTGCCAAAATCTGTCTCGGCACACTTGTCTCTTCCTCTCTGTATCTCAGCTGATTGTGGTTTGAGATGAAGAATGAAAAAGTGTTTGGTCTTTTTTTTTTTTTCTTCCGCAGTTCAAAATGTGACTCATGTGCCAAGGGAAGAAAAACTCAGTTCCCTACACAGCAGTTTTCATCAGCCCTTAATGCTGATGGTATTCCTGCAAATGCTTTTGTGCAAACAGGCTGTCATTTATGTTTCCACTGACGGATACATCATCATAGTGAATAATTATGCTGTGTCTAGAAGTGAAACAAGCCATGCTGAGTCATCTGTATTGAAACAAACTCAGGATATCGTATAACAATGGGGTCAAAAGCATTATATTGCATCCAGGAAAGCAGTCCCTTTGCTGTTTTCTAATGTCTTCCACTGCATTCTGAAGGAAGTTGTTTATATTTTTAGCTAACAGAGCTAATCGAGGGGGAAATTAAACCCTGTGATGCTTTTATTTTGGATCAATTTTGTTTGTGTACCTCTTTAATTGCTATATTATAAAATACTCTGAGACATAATTTTGGAAGAGTTAATCTGACCAATTTATCTCACTATAATGCAAAACCCTGATAAAACATACACTATATTGGGCACTAAAGCACTTTTAAAGAAGGTACCTTTTCCTTCACAGCTTGTTACACCCAAAGCATTTCAATCATTTAGAATTTTAAGCTAAATAGATTTAAGAGCCTGTAAGCATAACCTGACGTAGTTGGAACAAAGGCTCTGTTGATGTCATAGTTATTATAGGTAAATACACAAGCATTGTTTGGTGGCAGAAGTCTCAGAAATCAGTCATTTCTTGTTCCAAGGCTAATTTCATGAGGTTTAAATATAAATGATTTGCCATACATTTTGCTCTTAAGCGAGTCTTCACATCTGGATGTAAATGACTCATGAGATGAGGAGTTCAAAATTTGTCATTATCAAAATACCGTTAAAGCTACCATGACACAGTGAGAGTGAGTGCGAGAGTGAGAGTGAGAGTGAGTGCGAGTGTGAGAGTGAGAGTGAGTGTGAGTGTGAGAGTGACTGACTGACTGACTGCTAATACTACCACTATACCACGCTACTAATACAACTATGTACTAGAAGTATATCATAGTGCCAAGAGAGTTTGCAATATGATGTGTGTTTTTTGTATTGAAGCATCACTTCCGAGTAGATTAGTTCAACCTGATTTCCATCCAGATGTCATGTCTAACACTCGTGCAAAAGTTGCTACATTTCCTGTCATGGCGGTTAACAGTAAACAGTTTTTTTTTCTCTTGATAAAGTCAGCTCAGAATATGCTAAAGATGAGAGAAAGTGAAGAGAAAAATGCAATTGAGCAGTTGATTATGATCCACAAACCTTCTGTTGAACGAAACGATAAAGGGTTAAACAGAGCGTTTGCGCTACATATTATTGGAAGGGTTACTAATGAGGGTTAGTAACGAACCAACTGAGTGGGCTCTTTAGTGTCACTCTTAGTCTGAACAAGTTGTTACCGCCAGCATTGACACCGTTTGCTCTCTTTCACACTAAATGTTTGGCTTTAAGCCTGGAGACTTGTATTAAAGGAAATGCCTCACAAATCTTAAGAGGAAGATTGTCTCTCTAAAACCTTACACCAACAAATGAAACTCCACAAATGGAGCAACTCACATTTGGATGGGACTAGAATAAGCCAAGTCCAGGGGAGATATCGCCCTCTTGATCCTTGTACACATGCCATCTATTGCACTTCTGTCCATCCTGGCAGAGGGATCCCTCCTCTGTTGCTCTCTCACAGGTCTCTCCCTCTTTTCTCCCCATTAAAGGTTTTTTTTTGGGGGAGTTTTTCCTGTTCCGATGTGAGGGTTCCGAGACAGAGGATGTCGCATGTGTACTGATTATAAAGCCCTGTGAGGCAAATTTGTAATTTGTGATTCTGGGCTATACAAAAAATGAATTGAATTGAATCCTTCATTTTCTGAGTCGTATTTCTGAACCCTTTCCTGTTGCCTCCAGTCCATTTTCGTAACAGAAGGTATGTTTGAACTCATCCTCATCTATATTTTCTTCTTGAACAGGAAGAACACATAAACCCTATCACGCGAATGTAAACCTCATTTTTAGTAATCCAACCCACTGATTATATTGATTTCAGGCCAGTATCCTAAGAATAACCTTCGTAGTGGATTAGTTTGTGTTACTGGTTTTCTGCTTTTCTCGTTTTTTCCATCCGACTCACACAAGAGAGGAATGTTGTGAAGTTTATCTTCTCTTATCTAATTTGCAGTCTAGGCTGTTGTTGTATTGCAGAGTTTTCCCACATTGTAGATATGATTAATTGTGTCTACATTTTTCATTTTCTGATCCCTGAATACGCACTGTGAACATTTCTTTGAAGGCAGTGTAGCACAGCACAATGATTCGGGGCATTTTAATCAACCTTTATCGCAAGTGTTGGTCTGCTCCGGTGCTGCTAGATGACACTGGCTGCCTTCACTTTATGTCAGTCTGACTGATGAAGAATTTCACCAAGCATGAATATGCATTGGACTCATTCTCAGCGGAGTCTTGCATCGTATACAGTAACACATAATGTCACTCAACCCATCCTAACACTCCAGTTTATCATTATCTGTGTATTTATTTGTTACACTTTGTTTTACAAAGTTAGGAAAGCAATGTTTAAGTCGAGCCTGATTTTGCCTTAGACATAAAATAATGATCTCGGTCACTTCCACACAGTGACGCATTCAGCTTATTAATTTAACACTGGTATCGTATCGGCCGATACACAAAGCCCAGGTTTCATTATCGTATGGGGACAGAAAAAGTGTATTAATCAGGTTATTCATTTAGTTATTTCCACATGTATTGTACTGAATTCATTCATGTTTTTTTTATTTACGGATATATACAGGTAGGTATCTAATATTCATTATAATGAATTCATCCTGAATATTGTGAGTTTTCGTTGCCATGCTTTATCTAATATCCTCACTGTGACCAAACCCTGCTGTTCCTTCCCTGGCAGGCAAAATAAGTTTACCTGTGAATACTTTACAGAACTACTTTGACTAAGATGGCATTCCTGCATCTGTCTTTGTTGCTTCTAAAAACAAAATGGAGTTAATCTCACTTTCCAGTGTTTTGATACCGTTACTATGTTTATTGTTTGACTCAACAGTTTCAGTCAGACTGCAGCTCATTTTTATGTTTTCTTCGGGTGTGATAACGCTATTTATCACCGTTTGTTTTCTTGTATTATCTCCACAGTGAAATGTTGCTTTATTATCTTTTTTTGAATCTATTTTTGTGTCTTGTCCAGAATCACACTGCAGTATCACACACAACTTGTAGACTAAAGTCACATGGACCACGAGTAGCTTGTTTATTAGACGGAGTTGACAGCCTGTTTTGGCAGCAGGGGGGATCACAACACACTTGATCCCTTTGAACTTGAGCTACGTATGATGGTCTTACCTTGTAGCGTGTTATTGGACGTTAAGAACACAGAAGAAGAGGAAAAAGATGATTTGACAATGAAACGCTGCTGAAAGTCTGATGTCATTTTGGCATCTTTTCCAGTGGTAGGTGTTTAGTACCACTATTCCACTCCTAACAAATTGTGCCACACTTATGCTTCATAGAGATTTGTTTTAGTGTTATTTGTTCTGCCTTGGTCAAATAGTTAAGTCACTTTTAGAGTTTAGCTGCTTTGGTGTGAATATGTAGTTCCTTCTTAAACCAGCAGAATATTTCATCATGTGGTTGTAGGACGACCTTCTGATTTCTATGGTAACTCGGGTCCTGAGGAGCGTGTAAATGCTGCTTGATAACCTCCTGCTGACAGACGTTTAGGGTGCCATTGGAGGGACGAGTGAGAGAGGAGGATTAGATCAGTGGCAGTGAGAGCAGGGTGATGATGACGGGGTTCTTGTCATTTCCAGTGTCCCCTCTTTGGGGTCTTGCCCAAAGCACGTCAGTGTTTGGACGAGCCAAAAGACAGGAAATAGATGTGACAACACGCTCCAGCAGTGCCAAGCATTTTTCCCTCCACAGTGGGGGAACCAAAGTCCTCTGCTGATTGAAGCTGTTTTTAGGAAACGGCCCTAAAAACTGACCAAAAGTGTAGCAAGCTTTTTTTTCTGTTTTTGTACTTTCGATGACTCCTTGTAGCAGGATTGTATACAATTCAGTTATGTCACTGTTTTTTAAGGGGTATAGGTGTGGGACGAAATGACTGAAATGCCTTACAAAAATAGTGAAGCCCTGTACATCAACTGTTGCCTAAAAAATACTTAAGAGTTGAATCAACACCTCTCTGACGGCATCGACCAAAAAAATCCCCAATAATTATTTTCTTTAAGAATTGATATATTGAGCAGCAGATCCTCACAACTAATAAGCTGGAACTAGGGGATGTTTTTGTGTTTTTGTTTTATGAATGACAGTTAATTAATTTTTACCTAATTTGTTTTAATTGACTATCATATTGATGAATGAATTGACAAATTGTTTCAGCAGTAAGCTTTGCAAAATGGAATTGATTTCAGGGCAAACATTGCGTTTGTTTCGGTTATTTTGTAGCATTTTGGTATGAATGGATTTTTATGTGTCGGCAGAATCATTTTTCAGTGGCATCGCATGCAAAGTGTTCCCAACATGCCTCCATTCAATAAAATATAGCAATTGCATATGACCGTATCTTTACCCTATTGTCTGTCATATCACATGCAGCATTTTTAAAATAAGCTCTGCTGACTGATAACTGTTCTTAATCACATGACATGTATGGCTTTCAGTATTAACTGTTAAATTGAACTGACTCGTATGATGTTCTTTACATCCTCTGTCTCTGATCACTGTGTGAAATCTTCCCCCCTCTCCGTCCTCAGGCTCGTAAGGGAACTGGCCCGGCTCTTTCATCCTCCCCCTCTTAACATTCCGCTGTGTCGCACCTCCACCATGTCCTTTCCCTGCTGTGGCGCTCCCATGGAGAGTGCACGCCCACCCAGATAGGATGCCTGCCTTGCCCGACGTCCTGCATCCCTTCCTGCCCATCACCACCTCCTCCTCCTCCTCTCGTGTACCTGCTCTTGCTAACAGTTCCTTGCGGACCCCCGGGCTCCGCCCTGTCCCACTCCAACATGGTGGATGAGGTAACCACCATGAAGGATGACGTCATCAACGCCAACACGCTGGCTTGGCTGGTCTGCTCGGGCGTGTCCATCCTGGCCAACACTTGGAGCATCCTTAGCGTCAGTGCCAAGCAGAAAAAGTGGAAGCCGCTGGAGTTCCTCATCTGCACGCTTGCGGGCACGCACATCCTCAACATGGCCATCCCCATCACCATGTACTGTGTCATAACACTGCGCCGTCAGCACTCCAACTACGAGTGGAACGAGGGTCTGTGCAAGGTGTTTGTCTCCACCTTCTACACCCTCACACTAGTCACTTGCTTCTCCGTCACCTCGCTCTCTTATCACCGCATGTGGATGGTACGCTGGCCTGTAAACTACAGGTAAGACACTCAAGTCTGTTGCTCAAAAAGTGTTGTTTATGCTCGGTCCGATTAAGCTCTTAATTTAGGTGGTAACATGTTCAAAGGGTAATTTCACCCTATTTACAATTGTATGTCTCATAGTATCTAGACGGGTATCATACCACTAGAGATAACTTTGCCTATATTCAGGTTTTGTGGTATCTGTCTCTGAGATTTCTGTCTTCACTCCAATAAAATAGAGATAAATGGAATTTTGTTTGTGGTGCTCACAGCCTTAAAAATTACTGGTTACTCTGGATGATCCTAAAGCATGTACAATAGACCTCACTGTATACAGTGTTTATTGGAATTTTCCACTGACGAACTAGTTGGCATAAAAGCTTCATCTCCTTATGCCACTCAAAATAAGTTTTATTTGTAATTCAAGGGGGGCCAAATGTGTCGGCACAATTCATTGCACACATTAAAACATAGTGTATTTTGTACGTATGTAATATTTTACAAAGCTAGACCCTATAAATACATTTTTATAGATTCTGATCAGGTTACAGTTGCCTTTTTATCCATTCAACCATCCATTTTTTATTAATTTCTAAGCAATATAATTTATAAACAATACATTTTAAATTCTAACCTCCTGTAAAGCTTTACATAAACACATCCTGACATTTCAAGCTGCACATTTTGTACCACTTGCTTCACTTCTGAGCAGATTCCTCAGATGGGATGGAGACGGAGTTTAGATTAGTGTTACTCGTCAGCATGTTTACCTCAGCTTTTGAGAGGGGTGCTCTGCATTAGGTGAAACGTCTCTCCTGCCAGTACCAACACATCTACTGGCTGCAGTTATTTTTGGTAACACCATGATAAAACCCTCTAGACTGAGCATCTGCCAGCTCGAGCTTCCAGCTTCATTTGGCTCCTCACAACATGTGATATTACGAAGTAATACTGAATAATAAAGCTCAGGTTCACATCACATTAACAGTCTGCAGTAACACCAAGACATCTGCTGTTCACACATAATCGGATGTTCTGAACAACATTGCTGCTTCCTTTGAAACAAGATTTGAATGCTATTTTTATCCGTGTTCAGGGATGCACATGCTGCTTTAACATAACCTGCTCTGGTGATTATTCAGGAAGTTTTATTTCAAAATTGCACTTTTACAAGCACATTAAATGACAAAATATGACTGTATTGTCGTCATGTATGTGTAATTTACATGTCTTTTTCATCTTGGTATTTTACCTGCAATAATACACAATGATAACAATAGCTGTACAGCAACAAACCTAAAAGGATACTGATCACATAATCATCAATTTGCTCCTTTTATAATTTGCAGCTTAAGGACAGCTTACCTTGACGCACACCGCAGAGGGCTTGGCTTTGCTATTCATGAGTAATTTCTGGTCAGCAGTTGCACGTGAATGCATCTGTAGGACAAATACTGTAGAAAATGAATTGAATGGGATTAATATTCAAGTTTGCACAATACAAACGAGCTACGATGTGAGTTATTGAAATGGTGCAGAAACGAATGCTGTGGTGCATGTTGTGAAGATCAGTATTCTCTTCCTCCCCTGCTGAAAAACCAAAAGTGATTTTACTTCCTGCAGCATCAGATGCTCTGATAAGCCTGCAGATGCACAGCCTATCCGCCTAGTCAGCGTTGCCAATTTTGCAGATAGGCAGATGTTCACATATGATATGCAAACTTCCTTTTAAATCTTTGGTCAATCTTGGTATCTATATTTCTTGTGCAGCTGTCATTATTGGCTGATGGCCACACAGAGATATCAGGCTTTGCTCAAATGCTTTTATCCCCGTCATCTGTTCCCTCACTCATCTGACAGTATTCTCTCTCATCTCCTGTCTGGAAGTATTGAGTTTCCTCTCAGCAGCTCCTCTTCTTGTTTCCAAGTCACTTTTAACAATGATATGGTGGAGGGATAGCTCAGGCAATGCACCGTGTAATTGCTGTTCATCTTTCATTTAAATCGCTTCACGTTTGCTCTGCTGAGGTAGCATGGCTGACTTGTCTCTGACATTAACACACACCGAAGGCCTGAATTATGAATTCCAACCTTGTACTTCGGCAGCTGTTCCCATCATCCTGCGCTCGCTGTCTCTTAGGAGCTTTTTCCCCTCGCGATGCTCTCTCTCTGGTAATAGATTCAAGCAGCTCGGTGACGTAACTTTCCCGTCATACGCACCCCAGGCACATTCAGGAAAGGCTAGCATAATTACTCACAGTGGCAACGAGACCTACTTGTCTTTGCACAAAGCCGTAGTGCAAAGATAGAGGCTGCTGCTGCCCTCTCTGAGCCATTTCTATTGTGTCAGTGCATGTAGACTAATGCGTTAGTAGTTACACATATTTTAACTGTATGTTTATTAACATATCTTTTTATGCGAGGACATGCCTTCCATCCAGTGCTCCTCCAGAGGATTTTAATGAGCGGAAGAAGAGGACATGTGCTTTGGCTCTCTTAAGGGAGATGGATTGGGTTTCCTGCCAAAAACTGCTCCTGCAAAACTCGGACTTAACAGAGAATATAATGTATTCCTTCCCAACACAAATAAATAATGCAGGAGACGTACGTTTATGTTAACTGCCTATGTTGTCCCTGACTTATTGTATCTATTTTTGAAGGAGGCCAATTTATAAACACTGGACTGAGGTGACAAAAGCCATGTAATAGACTATCTACGTATTCTACAAGCTAAAAAAAAAGGATTGGCTCTATGTGTGAGTTCAACAGCTCAGCACCTCTTTAGGTGCAAAAGGATAGCACCATCTTTTTTCTCAAGTTTTGGAAATGAGTACACCAGTAACTGCCTGTCATATTGTTAGATGTATGTATGCTGTTGCAAACTTTGCCATACCGCCAGAGGACAAACGCATTCAGCAAATTGCTCAACTGTAACAATTACTTGGAGAGGAAATGGAAATCCCTTCGTACTGAAATAGACCGAGGGACGTGAAAAGCAATCTTTAGCCATCAGCAAAGCATTGATTTCCCTCCATTTAACTGCAGTTTATCTGAGTGATGCATGTGTGGGATTGGGCTTTTTCAGCTTTCTGCTACATTTATGGTGTAGTTTTCATCAGTTTTTTTCCATATAAAATATAACCGTGCCGTCATACCTCTCATTAGTGTCTGTTTGAATTATTTTGTGCAACATATTGTGAGTTCTCTCTCACACACACACACACACACACACACACACACACACAGGTGAGTGGTTAGGGGCCCACCCTTCACAATCTCCTTATTTAGTCCTTTTTTACAGCATGTTTCTGAAGTTTGTGTAAGGTTTGAAACGTACACTTTCAGTATTTGTGGTCCAACCACCTGCACTGTTAAAGTTCTATATCACCTTTCAGAGCCACCAGTATTGGGTCCACTCGTTTAAGACGCTCATGAGCTACATGACATTCCCAGCAGAAAGAAAACCAAAGCCCATTTTCTCTTGAAGGCCTGACAGTAGTTTGACTTGGATTATGCTAAAGGCTTGTTCTGCTTCCAGGTTGAGTAACACCAAGAAGCAGGCCGTGCACACAGTGATGGGCATCTGGATGGTCTCCTTCATCCTGTCCACGCTTCCAGCTGTAGGCTGGCACGACACCATTGACCGCTTCTACACCTCTGACTGCCGATTCATTGTGACGGAGATCGGTCTGGGCTTCGGCGTGTGCTTTCTGCTGCTGATAGGCGGCAGTGTGGCCATGGGTGTGATCTGCATCGGCATCGCTCTCTTCCAGACCTTCTCCATCCAGGCGGGCCACAAGGCTGACAAGAACAAGTTCAACGTCCCCACCATAGTGGTGGAGGACGCACAGGGGAAGCGCAGATCGTCCATTGATGGATCGGAGCCCCTCAAGACATCACTGCAGATCACCTACCTGATCAGTGGAATCGTCTTTATCTACGACTTCCTGACTGGCTTCCCCATACTGGTGAGTATACTGCCTGAACATACTTGCAGGTAATGATGGAGCTGGTCTAAGAACCAACCAGTTTAAGGATAAATCAAAAGTTCCAAATGAAGGCTTTTTTATATAATAATGGGCTCCATTAAACAACTCTCAAAGACTCATCACTCAATCAGTTTGCTTGTTTCATGTGACGCAAGAAAAATGTATTACAGTATTTTCATACCAGTTTTTGAGATGGTGTGTGTGTGTGTGTGTGTGTAGAAAGAAACGCACACTAACACATGGCTGATGGCAGCCATTTTTGTGACCTCTTCGTCACTCAAACTGTTTGCTTAGGGTGATGAAGGTTAAGGATTTAGCACTGGTGCGCGAGAGAGAGAGATGGTGGACAGGGTGAAATTAAACATTAAGGTAAAAAGAACGGTTTGAGGGTGGAGTTTGTTCACTGTAGCCCCTGTAACTATATTGTAATTGTGGGTGACGATTGGAGGAAGTATGGGTTGTGGGTTGAATTTTGTCTATAATAACCGCGATAGTAATAACCATGATGATGATGATAATAATAATAATAATAATAATAATAATAATAATAATAATAATAAGAAGAAGAAGAATATGTTGGCCAACACAATGGACCAACAAAATGTTGACCGTGCAATTCATCATGATACATAATGTGTGTAGCTCATAGACCTGTCCCAGGTACAGGTCACTGGAGACATCTTCTCTCTGTTGTCTTGTAGGGAACTCCAGGTTTTGAAAACAGTGTATTTAGAGTGATTTGGAGATGATCCGCAAATATATTGATATCAATATTTTAATAAATAATTGTCAGTAATGTGGACATAATGATTGAGTGGGTAAAGGGAAATAATAGAACATCTAGAACAGTGTGGTGAGTTCAGAAAATGACAACTTTACTGTAATGCAGTCTTTAAAACCAGGAAAAGACGACACGTTATGATATCCAAAATCTAAGACGATATCTAGTCTTGTATCACGATATTTGTATGAAATAGATATATTGCCTAGCCCTAAGTTTACCTTCCCTCTACTTTCTCGGGAAACTGATCCTTCAAGTGCATTATCAGCGGGTGAAGAAAGAGCGAGTTCTGTTTCAATGCGTCGCCATTTGGTTTGCAAATTCCACCCTCAGGTTCTCATTCATTTTTAAACAAGTCGATTCCCTGTTTGTCTATGCAGACTTAAGAGCCTGTGGAAGGCTCCAGGCGTATTGCTCATGATGCAACCAAACCAGCCATCCTGCCTTCTTAAAAGCAAGCCACCATGCTAGAGCCATGTTTTCCCATATGGAAGATGTACTTTGACATTTTTTGTTTTTATTCGAGCAATGTAGGGCCCTCGCTGTTTTTTTTACGTAGATTGTAGCACATCAGAGGTTGCACCAAAAAGGAATGTAAATAAAGATATAGAGATTGAATGAACTCCATTATTAAAACATTGCTGGTAAGAGCAATTATTCAGTACTGATGAGCTCACAGGTCTTTAGGCATCACAGCTGCTGTTTGTTGTTCAAAAGTAACCAAAACACTGGGAAATGCTTTTTATGAATTAGTACATTTCAGTCAACGATAAAAACACTGGAAATGTCACCATTTCTTTGTGTAATGCCTCTGTTGATATTGTGTGCTGCTTAACTAGATTGTTCTTGTTGCTTCATCAGCTGGAAGCTGATTTGAAAAGACAGTGGCGTATCACTTTCACTACAAAATCCTATTATGTGTCTCTGTGTGTGTGCATAACAGAGAGGGTAGAAGAGTACTGATGAAAGATCCTATTTCCAGTGCAGTGACAGAAACAACAAAAGTTCAGCTAGCCATCTTTATGGCCTGATGTAATGAGCTATTTAAATGCATGGAAAGCTGTACCGCATAATATACAATCGTGTTGCACTGAGGAATAGATTTGAGGAACAGAAAGCATAATTATTTATATGAGCATATATTCAAGAGTTGATATACTACTTATACTCAACATTTCTATAAGAAAGTGAAAGCCCTTATGACATTATCTTTAAAAAAAACAATATATTGTATATCTATTCATCTAAGAAATTATACTTATGCAATACCAACATTATATAACTCTTGGTATCAGTAGTAGTATGTCCTGTTATCAATTTATGGGCTGTAAGAATTTATATTTAGAGGTTATAATACACAAAGCTACTGATAACTCCCCTACTCATAAGCTCCCCAAAGAACAAAATAAGTACCCTCAGATGAAAGTACATTAGCTGTAACAACATCATGAAATACATTTTCTAGACTCCTAATGCGTTGTAAGGTGTTGCGACATTTTCTAATGCCAGAATGAGTGTTTTATTATTACTTTTATTCTTTCTGCCTGAAAGTGTGTTGAACATCAGCAGGTGATGTGTTCTAATAGAAAGACAACCTGTGTTTACCTACAGTGTCTTTTGTTGTCTTCACAGTCTTTTGTCTACATGGCACTTTTTAGATTGTTTTAGCTCCGTAGACAAACGAGATCAGTTTCAGGCTTCACAACTTCATCGAGTCATGTCGTGAAGCTGCCGCTGTACGGCTGGTGCTCGAGTTCAACATATGATCAGAGGAGGCGACACCCGAGATAATGAGTTTGACTTAATCAGTCTGATCAGTGTGTTTTGGCGTGATGCGTTAGATATGAGGATTAGACTCTGAACCTCTCAACGTTAATGATCAGATAATGCACTCTGTTGCTCCACTGAGGTGGAGAACTGATGTTCGATCTAATGCTCGTTCACTGCCTGAATGCAGACATGAAATGAATGAATATTACAATCAAAAATCCAACGAGTGACCTGAATGCATCTGAACCAGTTTCTGATAAATGTTAGATAGATAAATAGTTACTTTATTAATCCTACAAGGGGATTTTTTTCCGCTACAGCAGCATTTATACATACAGGTAAGGAGTAAAAAAATATAAAAAGAAATGTAAAAATGCACAATATATACAGTAAAATAGATTATTATTAATAAATTAACTAATTAAACAACAGTGCACAGATTTACCCAAACTAACAGTGTTCTAGTTGTGAGATTGATTTGGCCAGAGGTGATTTGTTATGAAGTCTTATTGCAGTGAGCCGGAATGATTTCCTGTATCTGTCCTTGGAACACACAAACAAATCATCAGAATTCATTTATTTTTGTTGTATTTTTATTACTATTCCCTGAACTCTGTGAATGGGCACAATGGACAGCCTTGTGCCGAGTGCCTGCTGACAGTACTATAGCTTGAATATTAGAAAATGGAGAGTGGTGTTGGAGCAAGTATCTCTTAATGGTTTTAACATTCACACTTCTTATGGCAGGTCTTTCACTGGACAACGACACGTAAAGTGCAGCTTCTGAAATCGTTTTTTCGGCATTTTGTGGAAGTCTCTTCATATTCTAAACGTGACTCGAGTTACTTGATGTCCATGTTACTCGAGTTACTTGATGTCCACGTTATCAGTGCTCTGAATTTTGCATTCAGTATAACCCTTTGCTTACCCTGCCCAGGTGGTGAGCTTTGCCAGTCTGAAGTTTGACCGTTCCTACAACTGGATGGTGTTGTGTGTGCTGTGGTGCTCTATTGCCCAGTCCATCCTGTTGCCCATGTTCCTCTGGGCTTGTGACCGCTATCGGGCTGACATCCGCATGGTGTGGGAGAAGTGCGTCGCCATCATGTCCAACGACGACGTGGATGAGGGTAAGACACTGTCGGAAATCCTCCTCCTGTCCTCTGCCTCCTTTTTCCCTCCTCGTCACCTGATGATGTGAATATGGATGATGATTCCTATTACCTAAGACAGCTGTGTGGACTAGTAAAAGCTCTAAAGAGTTTGCCCAGTTAAATGCTCAGACTGCATTTTCAAAGGTAGTTCCACAATCCATAATTTGGTATAAATTTGCAGTGTTTCAAAACCATATACCATATGACGAGAAATTGCAGATAATTTGTTTGAGATTACAGAATCCAAGTGAGAGGTAAAGACGAGGCATGAGTTTCTGAATTCAGGGTTTGGTCTCTCAGAGTTGTTTGTGTTGAGAAGTGTTCTGGACTGTCTTTGTTCATTGGAATGGCAGAGACCAATATGATTCATCAACCTGAATGGTTTTGGCTCTTTGCCTAGGGAGTTGTTGAACTGAGGGAAATTAAGGGCAGCAATATTGCAGGAAGGGAACAGAGGTTAGCATTAAGCTAAGACATCTTTAGTTTATAGCCTAATGTTTGATAGACATGTCCACCTCATGTACTTGAGCTACAATATGGTGTCACCTTTGTGATTAACAATCCTCTGGATTCAATTTGAGTCGCATTGATCTGATAGCAACTGAGACATGCTGCAGTTCACAATGAAATGTTTTTGTTAAATTATGACCGATAATCCAGTGGACATGATAAAGTTACCTCATAACATCCATCTGAGCCAGTTAACATCAACGATTTGTGACAAGAAAAACAAACTTTTCAGAATGTTGCAGAGAAACATGTTGTTTTTCCTCAGTGTGTGAAGACAGCTGATGCTGTCAAATCACAGGATGTGATCTATGTCATGCTTACATTTCTGTGGCCAATTACAACACAGCACACACAGATATAGCTGTGGTTCAGATAGTTGTTCTTTAGACGGCTCAGAAATGGGTTGAGGGAGTTTATCAATGTTTTGACACTTATTTTCTTGTCAACAGCCAACTATCCAGTTTACAGGGTCAGTGTTCTGTTCCCTAATTCATAGATTTTTAAAGGAAGATAATACATTCCTGGTTCTACCTCATGATGCAAGTTTAAATTGCCCCTTGACTCCGGAGCACCCATGATTACCACATATTCACATCCTCGCCTTCTGTGATGGCTCTGCTTGGTGTTCTAAGTATTAAACTATGCAATTACAGTCTGTTACTGCCATCTATTTTCAGACGGATCAATCCAGTTCAACCAGATTCTAGAAATAGCAATGCTACACATTAATTGTTGTGAAAATATTCAACAGTCTGTGTTAGTCTCATTGATCTTTGAGCTGAACTGGCTTTAAGGTGTGACACAGGATGACCCCAATATATTGTATACATACCAATTACTGCAAATCTCTAAATATTGGAATTGGTCATCCTAAAAATGTATCTTTTTGAAGTGGTTGATTGGGTGTAGTTAAATATGGACACCTTTTTACCCTGGGCTATCAAAATAATAACAAAATAATAGTAAATAATCACAAATATAACATAATGTCTATTTAGAGGTACATTTTTTACTATTTGGTTAAATTATTACATAGTACATAGTTTACAATAGCAATCATGAGTTGAGCTGTTTGTACATGTTTCTTAAATACTTAATTATTAATATTTAGTTTAATTTTGTTCTTTTAAAAGGCCGTACTTACTTTATATGTTGTAGTTTGAGTTTTGAAATCAGTGGTCAAATGTTATCATGTGACCTATCATGTGACCTTTGTTGTCAGGAGATGAAACTGAAGTGACAAGTGTCTGTTTAACTTTCTGTCCTAAGATGTATGTTTCTGTGTTTTTGTTCATGGCATGTACTTTATAGAATGCTTTACTTTACCAATGCTATGAGATTAATGTCATTACAAAAAAGAAAATAAATATTGCTGGACAAAGGACATATTTACCTTGCAGCACGTCTTTCTGTTTCACTCGATTGTGTTTAAATTGCACAATCTTCCTCTAAAATGCTATAGCATGAGAGGACCATCAAATAAATGGTTCCCCATTCATTTGTTAGGAACCAGAATGAGCTGAAAAGCACTTTTGTCTCATTATGATGGTCATATTTCCCTCAAGTCACAAAGGGTTGCACCCAACTATTTTTTATGTATGTATGTGTGTGTGTGTGTGTGTGTGTGTGT